TAGTGCTTAGCTTCGCATTCTCTAACCCTCCGTCGCAAAAAAGGCAACGGCGCTGATGTTTGAGCTTTAAAAATTGACTATATTTGCAGCGATAACTTTAAACTTGTGGAAAGTTTCTTGCTTGTTTTGCCAAAAAACAGCTAGAAGTTTGCTGAGAGATTATATTCGATATGGGCTTTCTTACCTCCTCAGTCTTCTTGCCTGTAGTCATTTTTAATCCTACCTAATAAGCTTGACATAAAACCTTATCGCTCAAATGGCTAACTGCGGTTGTGGTGCATAAGTTGAAGTGAAGCGAACTCGTTTCGAAGCCAATTGGCACTGCATGTTCATCAAGCGCAGAAGAAAAATTTGAATTGCCGATCTCCTGTCAACATCGACAAAAACATTATAACAATGCTATCACAGAAGCGAGTTCATTGAAGATATAATCGAAGATGCTCTGACTATACATAAACAGCAGCATTCTTATCGGTCGTAATGTACCTAATCAGGGTCAAGCGTTATTTGTGAAAGTAGACAGAACACGTGTTACAGAGCTAAGCAGAGAGAGATCACACAGGTCGAATACTTCTGTTCAGCATTGTAAGAAAGTCAAATAACTATCAAAGCGCAGAAACTTTTAGAAGATGCATCTGTATTGAGACGTTAAGATCGCAACTTTGAATACAAATTTTGCAAAAGCTTTAATGTTTGTTATGAGAGTTTTTAGTATATCACACAATAAAGCATTTCAGAGTTAGGAATTCTCTGCCTAGCTTTGCGACAGCTTTGTTTTAAGCAGAATGCTTTTTGAAAATGAGGGGACTTAAAGATTTTCTACCCAAAAAGGAGTATTTTCTACGATATGAAATGTTTAGCTTTTATAATTCTCTTTCTTATCAATATCACATCACTGCTTAAGCCATGCTCAAGCTTTGATCTGCTCAATGATTCTATGTGCTCGGCAAATCTGGATGTTCAACCAAAAGGAAGGGATAAATCTTAGCTTTGAATTCGACTAACTTTTCAAGAAATGTGGAACAAATGTGGTCCAAAATAGTGCGATTTAAAGCCAAAGAAAAGTTAAAATAAATGAAATTATGCGTTAGAGAAGGCAGTAAAATGTTCTAGGCATGCGTACAACGCTGATTTTCCTCTGAAAAAAACTGACATAAATCTTGTTAACAAATATTTTTGACATTCTTCCTACTCCGCAGGAAAAGCTTTATCGTATGCTCTTCTCTTTGAGCGTAAGTTTCAAGCAAAACAGCGATTGTTCAGTTTGGGCTATGGTCCTTACGTTTCCCTCTACCAATATAAGCAGTGAGCTTATAATCTTCCTATTATCACTTGAATGTTGGCAACTAACTTCCAACACAGTTCTTCCAGGGCATCGTTTTACGTATCCTAGTACACGTACTCTGAAATGCCCCTCGTTAATTTTAGTGAATATGCAAAAATCAGGGACGGTAGTAATTTGCTCGAAACTCGCAGTTAACGATC